CTGCTGAGGTCCCAATTCAGCAACTAAAGTTCGAGCTAGAGGAACTATGGCCCTCTTTGTCCTCCTACAGTCAGATTGCAGAAGATTGGGTACTCTTGACCCGGGGCAGACCACAGTACCAGGGTACCAATATGATGATCTGTCAGAATGAGAAATATTCAAGGGACATAGATGGTAAATACGAGTAATAACAAGGAGGGAGAGATGACCAATTAAGAGTATGACTGCGGCCTACAGTCACCACGTAATCCAAAGTTGTCTCACCTTCACTATATGTTACTCTCGTAATGCACAATACACCGCACCTTATAAAAAATGAAATTGAATGAAAAATAGTAAAGCTACGTTAACAAAGTTAAATACGCTTACCATAAATTACCACTTGGCACCAGTACCTGAGTGAAGCTCCTAGGACAGGCCCCCATATAACTTGTGACGGTAACGCGTTGGTGTTCGGCTGTTTAAGGCTAGGGGTATGGCCTCGTCACATAGTTATAAAAAAAAATAGAAAACTGGAACTTCGTCTGTGGTAAGGTAAGGAGAAGACACACAAAACACAAGTAAAACTTTAACAATGAAATTTTAATTACGTTAAATAAATCAAAACATGAAAATAATGCACAAACAAATATGTATAATAAAATCAATGAATCAAAATAATAAGAATACTTAAATGACAAAATGAAAAGTTACGTTAAGGCAAAATAACAAGAAGTGCAATACAACAGTAAGTGGGAGGTGCTGGAATATTGGCTTAAAGCCACCACCTCTCTCAGTACACTCTAGAGTCTAGCTGGGAGGTGTGCTGGCTACGAAAGCACGGAACATTCTGAAGACTGATGTTGGGGCGACCCCAGACATCGGGTAGTATTGGGGGGCGAGTGCAGGTGCAGCCAGACCGGCGACCAATCAGCGGAGCCGTAGCGATCAACGGGTAGTTTGGTGATTTGGGTCCGAACAGGTGGCGGGCTGCATACGTTTCTGCTCACCCTTGCAAGCCTTGCTGGTGCTGGTGTTGTTGTCGTTGGACATTTCTTCCATAGTCTTTTTATATAATTGTGAAGACGTAATTTTGGAGGGAAGAGCAGGCTCAATCTCTTTAAGGAGATTATCGTCACAATATATATATATATATATATATATATATATATATATATATATATTATCAAATATGACCAAAAAAGTAAGATTAATAATTCTAACACGAATTTTGTCAATATTTCTTATATTTCTTTTCACTGTTGATGGTAACTGAAAAATCAATTCTCCAAAATTCATTTTTATTTCTAGTCTGAGGTGACGCCTGAACGCGCTTCATAATAACTTATTACATTTTCAAAGACTTTGGTTTACACACACAACTGTAATCTGTAAACATGCTAATCAGTCATACTTATATTCGCATTTGGGTGAGGTGATATGGTACAACAGTTTTGGGTGAGGTGAATAAACTTATGACAAGACAAGACAGAACACGAAACTATGGGTATTAATTGGATATGAGAACATAAGAATAGAAGTAACTGCAGAGGGCCTATTGGCCCATACTATTGGGACCATTCTCAAGTAGTGTGTGGTCTGGTCAACATACTTCAGCCACGTTATTGTGACTCATCGCCTGCACATAGGAGTGAAAATAACTACAGAAAGCCTATTGGCCCATACTTTCTCTTGCTGCTTCTATCTTGGTTCGAGGTCTTGAAGTGCGTTGAATGCATTAATTGGCTGTTGATTGCTTGTGTTGACTTTTTGATGTATAGTGCCTCGCTGATGTGTAGTCTCCTGCTATCGCTGAATCTATCGATGATTTCTGCGTTGCTTGTTAAGATTTCTCTGGTGATGGTCTGGTTGTGGGAAGAGATTATATGTTCCTTGATGGAGCCCTGTTGTTTGTGCATTGTTAATCACCTAGAAAGAGATGTTGTTGTCTTGCCTATATACTGAGTTCTTTGGGGCTTACAGTCCCCAAGTGGGCATGTGAAGGCATAGATGACGTTGATTTCCTTTAAGGCATTCTGCTTGGTGTCTGGGGAGTTTTTCATGAATAGGTTGGCCGTTTTTTGTTTTTGTAGTAAATTGCCAATTGTATTTTCTGATTTTTGTCTGTAGTGATAACATTCCTATTAATAATATCTTTCAGGACCATTTCCTCAGTTTTATGAGCCGTCGAAAGTTCCTGTAAAACAGTCTAATAGAGGGTACAAGTGTTGTGCTAGTTGACTCTTCAGAGGTTGCATGGCGTTTCACCTTTCTTTTTATGACGTCTTCAACATAACCATTGGAGAAGCCATTGTTGGCTATGACTTGCCTTACCCTACAGAGTTCGTCATCGACTTGCTTCCATCCTGAGCTGTGGCTGAGAGCCCGGTCGACATAAGCGTTGACAACACTCTTCTTGTACCTGTTCAGGCAGTCAACATTGGCACTGAGGCACATTCCTATGTTTGTTTCTTTAGTGTAGACTGCAGTGTAGAAGCCTCCGTTCCTTTTCGTGACTTACATCTAGAAATGGCAGCTTTCCATCATTCCCATCTACATAACATATGTGTCGTTTGGGAAATGTAAATAACCCAACAACACAAATATGTGTTGTTGGGTTGATTGTGTGGGGACACACTCACGCGTGATGAGTGTGTCTCTCACACGAGTGTGTGTGTGTCTCCATGCACTCATTACTCGGGACTGTTTGGAGACACTGTTTCAGATGAATGTCAGTTTTATTAAGTAGAAGCGAGTAGATTGATACATTAATACACACACCTTGTACACACAGGGGGTGGTGACGGTACACACAGGGAGTGGTGCAGGTACACACAGGGGTGGTGACGGTACACACAGGGAGTGGTGCAGGTACACACAGGGGGTGGTGACGGTACACACAGGGAGTGGTGCAGGTACACACAGGGGTGGTGACGGTACACACAGGGAGTGGTGCAGGTACACACAGGGGTGGTGACGGTACACACAGGGAGTGGTGCAGGTACACACAGGGGGTGGTGACGGTACACACAGGGAGTGGTGCAGGTACACACAGGGGTGGTGACGGTACACACAGGGAGTGGTGCAGGTACACACAGGGGTGGTGACGGTACACACAGGGAGTGGTGCAGGTACACACAGGGGTGGTGACGGTACACACAGGGAGTGGTGCAGGTACACACAGGGGGTGGTGACGGTACACACAGGGAGTGGTGCAGGTACACACAGGGGTGGTGACGGTACACACAGGGAGTGGTGCAGGTACACACAGGGGTGGTGACGGTACACACAGGGAGTGGTGCAGGTACACACAGGGGTGGTGACGGTACACACAGGGAGTGGTGCAGGTACACACAGGGAGTGGTGCAGGTACACACAGGGAGTGGTGCAGGTACACACAGGGAGGAGGAGGAGGAGGAGGGGGTAACAGAGGAACACCTCAGAACACATCAACATCACACAAACAATGAAGATCATGACAGCTGATGGACACCTGAGGTCTGGTGGCCTCCGACGCAGACGAAGCATCAACTAATGCCTCCTGACGCGGCGCCGGGAGCCTCTCCCTGTTGAGACTGACGCAGGAGGTGCTGGAGGTGACAGTGGAGGGGTTGTGGAGGGAGCCGAGGCCCCGCGGGCTGGTGGAGGGACTCCCGAAGTGACGGTGGAGGGAAGCTTGATCTGTGAAGAGGAGGGCCGGGAGCTTGACCGTGTTCTTAGCGCTGTTGTACCGTACCACAGCTGACGACCCGCTCCGAGACACGCTGCTGGATAAGGGTACACGGTACACACCGGCCTCCTGTTGACTACCTGTTGTGGTCTACCTGTTTATTGTCTACCTGTTGCAGTGTACCTGTTGTAATGTACCTGTTGTGATGTGCCTATTGTAGTGTACCTATTGTGATGTACCTGTTGTAGTGTACCTGTTGTGATGTACCTGTTGTGATGTGCCTATTGTAGTGTACCTATTGTGATGTACCTGTTGTAGTGTACCTGTTGTGATGCACCTATTATAGTGTACCTGTTGTAGTGAACCTGTTGTAGTGTACCTGTTGCCAGTGCTATGAACGAGAAGATAATACCAGTTCATGCCTGCACTAAACTGGTATTATTTTAACGTTTCATTACTCAGCCTCGCTATGTATAGAGTCATTAAAAAAAAGTCGCAGGTCCCCGCCCACTTATAGTGCTAGTAGATGTCATTATTGTTATGTGTAACATTAATGGGGTTTCTGTATGTTAACAATAATAATAATACTAATAATAATAAAATAATAATAGTAATAATAATAATAATATTAATATTAATAATAACAGAGTACTGCTTACAATTTTTTATTAGAATTATATAAATATTTATATTAATAAACTGTACTTTATTTGTAGCATCAGACACTGGGTTTATATACGTCCTTGTAAAGTCCATGTAAAGTTGTGGGGTTCTTTTTCGCCTCATAAACAATTAATCCAACTTCGAATCCCGGGCAGGGCAAATGGTTGGTCGCATTTTCCTAGCACCTAATGCATCTGTTCACCTAGCAGTAAGCCAGTACGCAGGAGTTCGTCAGCTTGTTGTAGGGGATACATCCTGGGCGGGGGGGGGGGGGGTGACATGGATAATGAACAGAAACTCGCAGCTTCGTAATAACGAACAGTTCTGAACACGTAAATAAGTTATAGATTTCTAGCGTATTTTTCTTACGGTATCTGAAATAAGTACATGTTGAAACAAGTAAAGAGCATTACGTTACTTGTAACAAGAGAAGATATTTTCTCGCTCTCCTGCCTATATAAAATTGTTTTGTTTTTCGTCCTGGTTTTACTGTGAACCATTGGTATATGCCTTTACTTCCTGACTCTGTAGTCTAGCTTTACTGGTTGACTTTTACTTATTGAATTTACTGTCTGAATTTATCTTCTGATTGTTTATCCAAGATTTCTGCCTGACTTTACATATTGGCACTAATGCCTGGCTTTACTGAACGCCGATAAAAGAATAAAGGGAAGCCCCATCCACCCACCTGGAGTGGAAGGCGCTGTTGACGTTGAAGTAGGTGGGCGCGGGGTTGGCCCTCCAGCAGACGTCCTTCAGCCCCTGCTTCACTCTGAGGTTGAAGCAGCCGTAGAGCACGGGGTTCATCACCGAGTTCACCAGAGCTATCGTCTCCGCCAGCACGATCACCGGCTCTGGGATGTTGTACCTGAGGGAGAGAGGTAGACACAGGTGGCTCGGGGGAGGGAGAGAGGTAGACACAGATGCCTCGGTGAGGGAGAGAGGTAGACACAGGTGACTCGGGGAGGGAGACAGGTAGACACAGGTCTACCTGTGTAGGTAGCTCAAGAGAGCTACCTACCCACCTCCCCATCCCATATATTCCACTCCAACTTCTCAATTTCCAACTTCATTACCTATCCATAAACATACCAACCCAAGCAACCCACCTAACCTATGCACAGAAATCATCGGTATTACATAGATTTAATGTTTGTTAATACGTCTTATTTTTTAGCAGATTGATCGATCTCGTGTAAAATGCAAGTTAGTAGATGAGAGGAGCTCATACTCACTGGTAGTCGGACCAGATCCTGATGTTGTGGACGACGAAGTATGGCGTCCAGCAGGCGACGAAGGTGAGGATGATTGAGAGGGTCATCTTGACGGTCTTAATCTTGGCTCTGGAGATGGACTGGGAGCTGAGGGTCGTCTTGCGAAGAACTGTGTAGCCGTCTGTAAGACCACCAGAGAACAAGCTTTGAGAGGGACCACGGTGAGGAGGGACATGAAGCCTGAAGACCTTATCTAGAGTCACTAGTTGGGTTCCTACTGGACCTCCTTGTCATGTTACTTGAGGACGTTTTGATCATTGTAAAGTCTAATAGTGGTATTTACTGTTGACTTGACTCTTACATGACTGGTTAGATCTCTGCTTGATCTTTGGATTTATTTGTTACGTCATATTTAAACTGCCTTTCCGATTCTCTCTTGACTCTAGCGTATTTTTTCTTGATCCTCCAAATGAGTTCCTGTTTCCCCCAGTCCTACGGTGTCCATGTGTGTCTGCGTGTCTGCCTCTTTGTGTCTGAATGTTTACACCTTTCTGATTGTTTGTTTGTCTGTCTGTCTATATGCCGGTTCTCTCTCTCTCTCTCTCTCTCTCTCTCTCTCTCTCTCTCTCTCTCTCTCTCTCTCTCTCTCTCTCTCTCTCTCTCTCTCTCTCTCTCTCTCTCTCTCTCTCTCTCTCTCTCTCTCTCTCTCTCTCTCTCTCCTCTCTCTCTCTCTCTCTCTCTCTCTCTCTCTCTCTCTCTCTCTTTCGAATTAATAATAGAAATCACTTAAAGTCTAAAAAAAAAACACGGAAATTAATGTCATAAGAAATTCCCGCCTCAATTCTCCTTGGGAAGAGGATGAACGCATTCAGCAGCCTTCTCTTGGGTAGAGAATACGAGCATTCAACAGTCCACTCTTCACAATAGTCGTCCACTCCGCTAGTCTTTTCAATTGTTCAATATTTCGCTCTTGCGAATGAGTGGGAAAGCCAATCTATTTTTACTTCTTGCTGCGGCTCATGCGTTGCTGAGCCACAGCAACCTTCCCTGTTCCCCAGTCATCCCTACCATTTCCCCCCTCACCCGTCTCCTCGGCCTCCCAACCATTTCCCACTCCACCCTCTTCCTTCCCACCATGCCCCACTCCCCTGTCCCTTTCTCCTCCCCCACCATTCTCCATTCCCCCATCCCCTCGTCCCCACCATCTCAAACTCTCCCGTCCCCTCGTCCTTCCCCACCATTACCCCTTCACTTGTGCCCTCGTCCTCCCCACCATCTCTCACTTCCGTCCCCACCATTCCCCACTCCCTCGTCTGATGCCATCCCAAATGGTCTGATGTTCCCATCAGAAAATTGGGAGCATCAAGTGATCTGATGTTCCTATCACTGAAATATAAGAAAAACAGTTAAAAATGAAATGAAAATATTAAAAAATAAATAAATAAACTATATTCATGAAATGAACGGTCTGGTAAACAACACAGCTCAATTCCAACGCAATTCACACAAAATAATTAAATCAAAATGAAAATAAATCAAAATATATAAAAAATCAATTTATCATTGCAATCAGAAACATTGAAATGGAATTGTAACATATTTAGTATAGCGTGTGTGTTGCTCTTACATGCAACAGATGGCGCTGTTTTTCAAGAAAAGCATAGTTTTACCTGTCATGAGTGTGGCATCTATACTTATACTTACGAAATGAACGGTATTGTAAACAACACAGCTCAATTCCAACACAATGTCACACAAAATAATTCAATAAAAAATAAAATAAATCGAAATCTATGAAAATAAAATTTATCAATGCAATCGGAAACATTGAAATGGAATTCGTGACATATTTAGTATAGCGTGCATGTTGCTATTATGTGCAACAGATGGCGCTGTTTATCAAAAACGCATGTTTTTACCTGTCACATGGGTGGCATCTATATAATAGGTATATAAAAGGACGCGCCTGTTCGAATGCAACGTTGTGTCAAAATTACTAAGCAATCGGTGAAGAACTTTCGGAGATTAGCGGTTATGCACAAACGAACATTTCCATTTTTATTTATATAGCACACACGAAACACAACAGATGACGTTCGAACACTGCTTCACTGACGACCTCTGTTCGAATCGTAACTCAGTGAATGGTTCTCCCACAGCCCGTCCTCCAAACAAAGACCCAAAGTCAATTCCATGCACCCGTCAACCCACCTGTTTATGAATGAAAAACGGTTTATATACAACCCGTCCTCGACTCAAGTCCATTACATCCAGCGGTCGACTCCACACACGCATTCATAAACTTTTACATGCTGTTCATTCAAAACATAATTTTTTTCAAATATAAATTGATATTGTAATATATTAGCATATTGTGCATATATAGGCATGGGTTAGGTTAGATGTTTAGGTTCTGTTGGCGATTATTTGTATTTGTAGTACGTGGGTGAAGCATTTACAGCGTTGTGGTTCGAACAAAATTCGTCATCGAAGCACTTGTTCCGGAAGTGTTTCGGACGTCATC